CAAATGCATATATTTTTTCTGAGATGTGCCAAAATTTTCAGCAACCGTTGAAACGTAAATATATTTATTGAAGAGAATTTTTGTTTTTGATTTTTTTTTGCAATCACTATAACTTACCTAAGGGAAATTAAAAAGCCAGCAGATTATCATACAAAACAAATCTACGTTAATATTGCGATATATCAAATCAAGCCATTTCATAAAAATGTCCCTTCTCCAAATTTATGCCAAACGATTCATAGTGATTTGATATGTTTAGCATACATATTTTTCTGGCTTTCTATTTTCTTCATATAAAAGTTAAAAAGCCCTGGGCTAGTATAGGGTTGATAAAATCAACTAAATATACCTCGAAAACCATTTCTTTTATCACAATAAAATAAATATTTATCTCCCTATCCAGTCCGAGCGAAAACAACCCATTCCGCCAGATGGTAGTTTCTATCTATTACTCTATTTATTTATTTTCCATTTGCGTTCTGAATAATAAGATTAACTGTAATTCATTTTCCTAGTTGTCTATTATATGTAAAATATTCGGAATAAGATATTCACTAAAAAATAACATGTCTATTATGTGAATTTATAGAAAAACAATAATAAACTCAATATTGAAATGTATAATATTTGCGAATCTGATCTACTTATTTTCAATTTGTGTAAAAAAGGAAAGTCAAAATTATATGGTTTGAATGATTACAATTTTCTTATCTTGTTAATATTTATTTTTGTATATTTATCAATTAAGTCTAAAATAAAGTTATAACAGCAATAATAGATAAATATTCATAAAAAGAAGTACGTTTAGTGATTAAACTTACTTCTTACCTGAAAGATATTACATTTTCATTATTCATTTTTAAAATACAATTTTAATCAAAATGCTAATTTGGCTATCAAAGTTTTCGATTAGTTTCGTTATTAGTTTTGTATAACATTTCTATTTGATATTAGTTTCAAATATAATTTATAGTTTGTGTATAGAAACGAGCGTCAGCAACGTAGTTTGATCAGTATTTTTTACTTTGGTAAAAATACAGTTTTGAGTCCCATAGATAAAATAATTATTACTTCTTTTATATATGAAAACTTTATAATTTGTTCATGAAGAGACATTTTAAAATTAAAAAAAAATTAGGAACAAAGCTTTCTCTCTATTTTAGAACAAATATATTCTCTGATATATATATATATATATATATATATATATACGAGTATATATATATCAGAACTATATATATATATATATATATATATATATAGTTCTGAAAATTTATCATTAAAAATAAACAATATTGAAATTTTGAAATATTATAATTATTCGCAATTAACTTATTCTTTTATAAATAATATATATATATATATAATATATATATATATATATATATATATATATATAATAATGTCACCAATAATAAAGCACTGCAAAAGAAAGAGAAGTAAAGCTTCAAAAAAGAAAGAAGCTCAGGAAAAATTGAGAAAAGTAGTACTTTTATATAGTACGTTAGCTTTTAGAGACAGCAATAACAATAATAATAATAATTAAAAAGAATAATTAAGAAAGAAGTTAAGGATAGCTAGTAGACCAATTAAAGAAAAAACTCATAGCATCACTAAATAATTAACTAGTGGTGTATGGAATCGTGCCTTTAGGCAAATTGCTGGTACTTCCCGTGCCGTAGCGAAATGGTCGAGGAATATTAGATGTTTTCAAATAGCTTATTATAAACAAATAATGTAACATTATAAAATATTTATAAGAATTGAATAAACGGAATTGCAAGTTGAAATTATTTGTTTAAAGTATATTAGAACTTTAGTCAGAATTACAATTGAAATCTGAATCATCTTCGATGTACAAAAAAAAAAAAAAAATTAAAAAAAAATTGAAACAAAAAACTTTTTTTCCAAAAGCAATTATTTTGTTAAAACGAGCAGAAAGTTCTTCAAATCATTCAAATCGGAAATGGTTCTCTCAAAAACTGCAATTTTTTGCACATTTAGCTCTGTTTCTCCGAAACGGCTGGACCTGACTCTCTAAAAACTAATCACCACTTTTTCGCGTCATTCCGAATTGAATGTTTTTTGAATCGTTCAAATCGGATGCTCCGTTCTCTTAAAAACTCGATTTGTATTTTCTGCTTTCTTTACGCCGTACCTCCGTAACGGCTGGTCCCACCTTCAAAAATTAATCAGCACATCTTACTATCATTTGGAATCGAATGAAAATTTTGAACCGTTCGAATCGGTTGATTCGTGCGCCCAAAAACGTAGACGAAAAAATGCGGACATACAAAACCACACACACACATCCATTTTTTCTTAAGTATGCCAAAATGTTCAGAAACCTTCAAAACGTAGAGAAATGCAAAACTTTTCATTTTCGATTTTCGGCCCATTACTATAACTACCCTACGGAAAGTTAAAAATCTTGTACTTGCACTTATTTCAAAAGTTATATGTTTGAAGTTGTCTTGGAAGTATGTACGAGTATTACTTTTAGATAAATCTATCATACCTTGAGTAAACTTTCATAGAACAATCTAAAATGTAGTATTTCCAGTGAATAATAGAAAAATTTGTTTGAGATAAGTATTTGAGGATTGATAATAATAAAGATTTCGAGAATTAATAATGAGGGAGAAAATATTTTGAAAATTCTACGGTAAGTTTACCACACTTTGGTGGTAATCTAAAAAGATACATTTTTAGTAGATAAAAAGTATTCAAGAGTTTTGAAAATTGAGAATGCAGGAACGGTTGGAAATGCTTTTACCAAAAACCATTACACTGTAATCATTGCCAATACAAACTGGCTAATTTCAAACCAGCCAAATGGGTTTACCCCATCATCCCAAAACGAGACTTATATACGAGTATACCAAGTTACTACACAAGCACACAAAAAATAGTTATTCCAAATTGTTCCATAGGTATGCCAAAATCTTAAGTCGGGGAGACGGAGACGGTTGTGACAGTCGTCATACAGCTAAACTATACAGATTTTGATACAGGGTCCAAAAGGAGAAAGATGAAGCATGATTGCTTGAACAAGTTTCCATTATTGCATTCAGTTAGTGCTTACATATACATCATCTATAGTTTGCATTGCTTTTAAAGAGTCAAAAGTAAGTTTTGATCTTACAAAATTCCTGATAATTGCATGCAGATAGATCACTATGTTGTTTTGCTGAAAGTTGAACATTAGTTGTTATTTACCAGCAGTTGGTTTTGCTTAGATAATTTAGCTCAGGCATAATAATGATTTGATTTCAAAAGTGTACGTTGGATACGGTTGTGACAAATGTTGTGGGTACGGTTGTGACATGTGTCCTTGTTCTTTTCGGGTGGAGATTAAACGGATAAAAAAATCTAACTTAACTAAGACAAAATACGTAAGAGGCAGAAAAGAAAATTTTAATATAATAAAAAAGAGTGCACGTAAGGTTCACATGCGATTGAAGTAAAACCTATTTGCTACTGTACAGATGGCATTTAAGTAAAAATAAATACATCATATAACCATTTTTAATAATGTTTATTAGTAATATAGTAACACTCGTGATGCACACATTTATTAGTGTCAACCATTATACACATTTATATAATGATATATTAAGAATTATATATTTATAATAGCATTAAAAATATGTATAATATTTAACAATAATGTAATTAAAGTTATACTTCAAATATGACGTGATCGGTTTGTCATTGTAATTAGCATTTAGAAATGAACCTTCATTAGAGAAATGAAGTAATTGCTGATTAATAAATTCTATAATATTCGTTCACACAGTGGATTATGTTTGACAACGCCTAAACAAATATTGTTTTCGCAACTTCACTTCATCATGTAATTGTGTTTGAAGAACTTCATGTAATTAAAGTTAAAATACATTCATTGACGGCTTGTATTTTTTTTTGCTTTTTCGCTGGCGATATAATCTAATTCTTTGAACAACTGTAATATCTATCTTGCCTAAAAAATATTTTCCATTTTAATAATTTCAAAGATTTATAGAAACTAAGAATAAAATAGAAATAATTTTTAATCAATGAACTTACTTTCAGCACACGGCACAAATATTTCATTTGTTTTATTATTTTCAAGGAACAGGATAAAATATTCTACTGGCTCAGACATTTTTCATTAAACCAAGTTTTGTACTATGATGTAACTTTAAAATGTTTTGCCTATGCTGATTTCCTTGCTGATGCCGGTACGCATACAACGACATTTCTCTATTCACATACACGACGACTAATCACAATCGACCCGAATAGAAATGATCTCATTGAGAGCGAATAACGAACAGTTCGGGCGTAACGGACTTTCGTTGCATTTGTACGGATTTACACCCTAGTCTAAATGTTTACAGTATTTGCACGTGGACAAATATTCAAATTGCCATTTAATTTACTTTTCTCTCGGGTAAGATGGATTAACAAAATATTGCTGATCAAATAAAAAGTGGCACAACCGTACCCAGTCTCCCCTACATATATACTGATACGTAAAAGCTTAAAAAAATTCAAAAACATTTGTTTTTATTTTGTATTTCATTAATTAACTCTACGAGAAGTTGCCATACATATTAGATAATTAGTTTTCAACCCAAAATATAAAATCTAGACCACCCCCCTGTATCGCATCATTACTATATCATAACAAAATTAATATTCATCATTTACTCCGCGAGAGTTATCCGATGCGGGCGTGAACCAATCGCTTCGCCCGGTTTTGGAGGGTAGTTCTGGGGGCGCAGGGGGCGCTTGGGGCACGTTTCTTCTCTATCCCCACCGCGGGCGAAAACGACGTAGCAAAAGCGGACAGTCGACCCTTGTTCATACGCAGTGCACTACACGAAGTCTCGTTTAGTAGTTGGACACAACGGGAAGAAGAAATTGATCTCATCCAAGTGTTAAATTCGTACAGAGCACGTGTGCGGGAATAAGATTTCTGATTCTTTGAAAAAAAAGTGATTTTTGTAGAATTTCAGGAGTGACTAAAAAGGAAGCAATATGAATGTGTTATTTGCTTTGACTGTTTTGGCGACGGCTTTGCAGACAGGTCGGTAGAAATTTGAATTTTAAAATATTTTTCAAAAAATGTTGTTTAACAATATTGAAAATAACTCATACACGTGCTATTCCAACTGTTCCGAGTTAAATATTTTAACTTGGTTTAATGTACAGAACTTAGCATATTAGATTCAAATGTTAATCAAATTTTAAATATAAAGTTCGTATGCGTGACGCTCTTTGAAAAAGTTGCGTGAGCTGTTAAGTAGATGTTCAATACGAAAGTGGCAGTCAATAGAAACGAACCTGTCTATGGGAAACAAAAATAATTAATAAATAATTTAGACAAAATATATATTTAATAAATTTTTTAATTATAAATTTTTAAAATAGGAAGTAGTGAAATGTATATTTCCGATAAAATGTTAAAAAATACGTATGCGATTATTAAGTCATGTATGATTCCTAACCCAATTCACATGGTTATGTGTAATGTGATGTAAGGCAGAGCGGGGCACAAAGGTCCAATTTGACTTCAAGTGATTATACTGTAATGAACACACCATCAAACAAGCAACTATCGAACTTTTTTCAATAAAATTCCCAATAATAGAAATGTGTTTTTCACAGTTTTGCTAAAATTTGTTATCTGTCCTTACTAGCTATTAATATTATTCAACGAATGCACAATCTAAATTTTGTAGGTACATCTAGATAATCCTGTAAATAACCTTGATGTGGTATTTTGTCACAAATATTTATCAGCGGGATTGGAATAATTATTAATTTAATTTATCTCTTTTGATTCTGCTTTTTCTTAACTTAATTTATTTTTGTAATTACTATTGTTTATTGTTTACACCTTTACCAGAGTATAGGTACAGTTGGTCCTTTTTACCCCAACTACGTGTAAACTTTTATAGAGGCTATATAAAGTAATCTGTTAAATCTAACTTAAATATAACAATACATCTTATAGAAAAATTTAATAACTTTTACTTAAAAATTATGTTTAGATCCTGTAAACTAAATTACTGTGCTCATAACCAAAAATACTAAGAACGAAAGAAAATACTTTTGTTATATATTTTCAAACATGACCGTTTCTCGATAGCGATTTTGTTTATTTTCCGTCGGTCGGATATTTTTTCACCTTCGAACGGTCGGAAAGGTCTGGCTGGACCACCATTCATTTTACATGCATTTATATGGGATAAATGAGTTTTTGGTGTCTTATATATTAACGATTATATAAAAAAATCAAGAAATATAAAAAAAATCGTTACTTTTTTTGTTAATTTTTCTGTTTTAAATCAATGAAAAATAATATTTATTCTTTTTCGGCGCCTTTGAAATGAATGTGAAATTCAAATGAAAACAAAATGAGGTGCGTCGCCTTTGAAATGAGCTGTAAAACTCAAAGTGAAAATATAATTTCACTACAGGTTTGCCAAAAAAATTTCGAACGCAGTACGGGTAGAAAAATTGTTGATAATGTGTGCATTATTCATCCGATTTTCAGTGTTTGCGATTACCAATAAGTTTGGTAGGTTTTCAAGGAACTCTCGTCATGAAAATACTAACATTCATGTTAGAACACATAGCAAAGAATATAAACAACGCAGTTTGAATAGAAAATACCATGAAAAAAGACAAAATACTGGTTTACATATATCAAAAAGCGTATATTTCATACAAAATGTATGGGTGGTCTAGACAGACCTTTCCGACCGTTCGAAGTATAAAAAAGTTAATATCCTTATAATTATCCTTCTGTACATTTTTTCGTCCTGATTTTTTCATTGATCGTCAGCTAATGAAATTTTAGGAAAAGTCAAGAAATTTCAAGTCGATAGGATTACTAGAAGTATTTTTTTTTTAATTGAAGTCGAAAAAAGTCTGGCCAGACCACGCCGACCGACTGAGGGTTAAAGTGACGACTGGTTATTTTTGTTAGAATTTTTTTTAAATTTTTCTGATTTTTTGAGATATTGGTGGTGGACATTTACCGGCGGACTCTCAAGCCCCGTTTTGGCCTATCTCTTTATCACAAAATAACTATCGAAATAATTCAATTATCAATCGAAATTCCTTTTGCGTTTTGATTTGTCTATTGGCATAAAAATATATTTAAACAATTATTTTCTGCTGAATATTTATTGATTTAGTTTAGTTTAGCAAACATATTTCAGTTCTACGATTGATGGCACACCTTGATTAAATCATAAAATAACACTATGATAATTTAATTAAAACTAATAATAAATGCATATATGGCGCCAGTGTATTGTAACTGACTTGTAAGTGACTTGTGATTATTATATGGTTGCCAGTATAAGTACACTAGCCTAAATAATATGTTAAAGCATAAATAATTAAATTTTTATTTTTCATTGTAATTGCGTTAAAATATTAACTTAAAACTTAAATTTATAATTTTAGTTAGTTTTAATGCTTGATCCTTGGCCAGTTTACTAAAAACAAATTGAATTATATCTTGCATATGAAATTGTTCGCTTACTACTTAAGTTAGATTTAACAGATTTTTTATATAACCTCTAAAAAAGCTTTAGTATGTGTGGGGTAAAAAGGACTACTTAAAATTTTGCCTTGGAAAGGGGGTAAACAATAAGAAAATAGTGAATAAAAAGTAAATTAAGCTAAAAATAAAAAAACAATTATAACAAGGTGATGAATAAGAATAATAGTTAACCCACCGCTGCTCATGAACATTTCCGATTTAGTATAAGGTCAGGGTTATATACGGTGTAATCTTTGCAAAAAATGTAACAATTAATAATTAGTCAATAAAGTAGATTCAACTGCAACATTAGATAAAAAATTCGAGCAATTTTTTTACTAGTTTTAAAGCACCTAGTAAGATTTTTTGAAAAGTATCTCTTCGATGATGCGAGACAATAATAATAAATTATGATATGATATGTTAATAATATTGTCATAATATATTGCAACGTCTCCAGATTTTGTACATTCTTTGCAAAAGCATCGTATAGATGATTTTTAACGTATAAAGACTAATATTTTAAATGTGATTTAAATTATCCGACTGTTAATTAATTTAAAAGAAACTGCATTTGAGAACGAAGCTAGTTAAAGCACTTCCTTTAAAATTTATTTAATATTTTAACGGATTAAGTGGAAAATGCTCTCTGCATCGCAGTATTCGCACAAGATAATTATTTCCATTTATATATATATATATATATATATATTTATATATATATGTTGATTTATATATATATATATGTTGATTTTATTTTAACGTTTCAAGTCATTCTGAACCGATTGAGATCAAACTTAGAAGAAGTATATATGTGTATGTGTAAGGCTGTGTGCTGTGTGTGTATGTGAGCCAATTTTTGGCTTTTCGTCGATGTTTTCTTAACAACAGCTGAACTGATTTCAAAAATTTAGAAGCCATTTGATGAAACTAGGTAAGCACTTGCATTGGTTAGTTTCTAGTTACGATTGGCTGAGCTGTTTCTTTGAAATTAGCAGAAGAGTGCAAAAATCTTTGACCTCAATTTAGCCAAAAACTGTGATCTATTTTTGAAAATTTAAATACTATTCAAAAAAATTTATACGGGAATCGTGCTAATTAATTTTGGACAAAGATCGGCGAGGCCGTTTCTTCGTAATTGATTGTTAAAAAAATCTCGATTTGAATGATACTTGGTATGATGATAGACCTGGTCTTAATGAACATACTAAAACATTATAGTTCTACTTATTACATTTAACTTCCCGAAAGAAAAGTTTGTTTTCATAAAAAATGCGATTCGCTAATTTTATGTTTTCTCGACGTTTCAAGCCATTCTGAATCGAATGAGACCAAATTTGGAAAACGTATGTGTGTGTGCGTGTGTATGTGAACAGATTTTTTGCCGTAAATCGACGTTTACTCAAAAACGGCTGGACCGATTTCAAAAATGTAAAAGCCTTTCGAAGTATCTTGATAACGACTATCGTTTGTCAGTTTTGCGCAACGATTGGCAAAGCCGTTTCTTTGTTATTTACGAATAAGTGAAAAAAATCGTCAATGTTTTTCCACGCACGTTTTAGCCCGCAATTTTGATTTTGAAAATTCAAAAAACGAAAGATATTGGTTGGGAATCGACCTGAATAGTTTTTGGTAAATATTAGCCGGGTCGTTTTCTTGTAATTAACTGTTGAAAAAATTTTCGACGATTTTTATGAATATTTTTTGACAGTAGATATCATGGTTCTTCTAGATCATACTAAAATATTACGGCACTACTACAAGTCGTCGAATTTTGAAAATTTGTCAAAGCTTGCAAAAATTAGTCGCGTTTTTTTGGCATTTGTCAAAATAAGACCTTACGTCGACGTTTTCTCAAAAACGCTTGAACCGATTTTAAAAATTTAAAAGCCATTTTATGTATCTCGGTGAAGATTATCGTTTCTCAGTTTTGTGCGACTAAGGTCCGAGCCGTTTCTTTGTAATTTGCATAGAATTGTAAAACTTCTCGCCCACGTTTTAGCCAAAACTTCTCTTGCTTGCTTTTAAAAATTCAATAACTATTCGAAAAATATTATTTGGGAGTCATGCTGATTGGTTTTGGACAAATATATGCCGAGCCGTTTCTTCGTAATTAACTGTTCAACATTTTTTTTTGATGAAACTCTTTATGTTGATAGATAACATGGTCCTGAACAACACACTAAAATTTTACGTTTCTACGACTAGTTCATCAAATTCATCAAAATTTGAAAAAATATTTTAGTTAAAATTTGTGTCTAAAGTTGCCTTTGTGATGTGATAAGTCAATTATCAATTCACTAAAATTTAAAATTAAAATATTAAGCTACAATTTCAGGACATACAAGCACTTGCCTGTGCAGTATAATTAATATAATTACAGATAATTTAAATGTGTTTGAGAAAATTCTATTAGAAATCGCAATGTTTGGACTTAACGATAACTTTATTTTCGGAATGAATAGTTGAAAATTTTATCTAAATATCTAATTCACAATTTCGGTGGATCAAGTCAATTATTACACATTTCGGGAAGTTCGTGCAACTTGCCTTAAGGCAAAATGCCACTTTTAACCTGTTAAAAATTGAATTTTCAGCCGCGCTTTTGGAAAATACTCCGATTTGTATTAGGAAGAGGTTCCATTTTCAATGTGTAAAAAACGTATTGTAATCTGCAATAGTTTCTCACTTTACGAGCCCTACAACAACTCTCCATACTTCTAAATTAGGGTAGAGCGGGGCTAGTTGAGCATAGGGGCAAGTTGAGCAATCGAAATATCTCGAAAACTATTCACCGTCCGTTTAGGCATTATATGGCGGAAAGATAGAAGTTTGGGAGAAATAAACATTCCGCGATCGCTAGTGGCCGCTGGACAAATGAGTGAGGCTCACAGGCGTTTTGTTTATTTTGAGACCAAAAAGTAAAAAAGTAATTCATCACGAGTTTTCGTTTGGTTTAGTCAAATGTTATTTATTTTTAATCAGGTAAATGTTATTCTCCCACATAATTATAGTACTTTTAATATGCACAGAGATTCTGCGTATAATTTTCATGGTTTTTTCATAAACTCACTTATATTTTGAAATTCCAAGTTGGGGTTAGTTGAGCATAGTTGCTAAACTTGTTCTGTCACTAAGACAATTACCAATAACTTCCAGAAATTTATTATTTTTAAGATTTAAGCTAAGTCTATGAGTAATAATATAAAGAAATAATGATTTTAAACAAAAATACTGAATATAATGGTAAAATAATTCCTAAGATACGATATTGTTTTGTTGATTCTACTTTTCGTTAATTATTCAAAGCAAATTACTATAAGTTTTGTATTCTTTGTCAATAAAGACTATAAATATAGAACTGGTTATTAAAAACTTATTTTATTTCATTATTATCGACATTAAACCTATGATTTCATTATACTTTCTTAGTGCTCAACTAGCCCCACCTATGGGGTACATTGAGCATACGTGACTTTTTGCATTCAAACAGCTGTAGCTTTTAAATTTTACTTATTACCATAAAATAGTATTAACACTTTTGTTAAGCGATAAACAACAAATCCATTAAGCCGTATAGCAATTTATTGAGACTTTTCATTGAGAAGCTACATCCGTTTAAGTAAAAATTTGCTCAACTAGCCCCGCCCTACCCTACTCACAAATTTATATATTGATTTATTATTGACTAAGTCAATTATTTACATACGTCGGGAAATTAATGCAACTTGCCTTGTGACCAAATGACACAACTTTTATTTTTATTCATAAGCTTTTGTGTAGAGATAATTATTTTCTTACACTACGTATTGGTAGATATTTGCTAGTTGTTTTATTTGCAGAGAAATTTTAGCGTTTGCATGGTACAGATATGGAGGTATTTTGAGAAGGAAGTAATGATATTTATAAAGTGACGTGTGACTAATTTATCAAGTGTTTGAAATATGTACCAACTTATTAATTCGTGACCAGCCTCAAGCAATTAATGCGACGAACACACTGTGAGTCATGGATAAGAAATTGTGTATACAATACATATCAAGTAATACAAAATTTTTTATAAAATTTTATAGAAAATTATGAGTGATTTCAATTTTTATATAATATGTTTGAGATATTGATAATGTTTAAAATACAAATTACATTTATGAACGCATTCAAGATTTTGGATATAATTCTATTACTATAGTCTTTTTTGTCGTTATCTTTGATAGCACAATTGCAGCTACAATGCAAAGTGAAATTTCTTGTTGATGTATACAGTGCTGGATTTACAGTAGGGGCAGTCGGGGCTACTGCCCAGGGCGGCAAATTTTCGGGGGCGGCAAAATTTGGATAGTGAGAAAAAAATTCTATACCATATAATTTTTTTAATAACATTTTTTATTTCAAGAAATATAATTAATAATATATTATACAAATGCAATGCAAAATTTGGCAATTTGGCTAATATAAGGATACGTAAATGAGTTGAAAGTTTAAGAAAAATATGTTCTTCAGATCTCGAGCCCTTTTAAGACGACGAATTTGTGCACTTCCAAGCTTATAGCGCAAAAAAAAATTAAATTACTGAAGCATGGCATTGTGCCTTACGGCAAGTTACTGAAACTTTCCGTACTGAAAATTACATTTTAAAAAAAGCTTTAAAATTTTTTGAAAAATGATGAAAATTGAATTTAAAAAACCTTTTTTTTTGTAAATTATTAACTTTTATGTATTAAATCTATTAAAATTAAATTTTATTTGAATTATTCGATTCCTATTGATAGCGAGACGAGCTGATTAGTTATTGGCCAAGGCAGGTCCCAAAAATAATAATTCAGTTTTTGAAAAATGGAACGTCCAATATTATTAAAAGAAATTTATATGTATAGACAAAACGGGGAACTGATTAAATTTGTTGGAGTCAGGTCTAGCGGTTTCAATGATCCAATAAAAACTTTGAAAAAAAAAACATTTGGCGGTCAAAAGTGATCATTAAAAACATATGCACATCAAATTATCATATATTTTAATAATAAGTATAAATTTTGTTTACATTTTACTATGGATCTGTATCATTATTTATTCGTTGTTCTGCGAGGCGACGCATACGCGCTTCTTTATTTTGTCCCTACGCAGCTAAAGCAGGGCGATCGCTTTAAAAAAACGTTTTTTTTATTTTAATTTTTTGTACGGGAAGTTCCAACAATTTGCCTTAAGGCACGATGCCAAGCACCACTAGTTATAGTATATAATGCGTAATAAATTTACTGCAACCAAATAATAATTTTAATTTTAGAAAAATGATATATAAAAACTATTTTACATAAAAATTCAGGGATGGGGCGGCATTTTTGTCAGTGCCCCGGGGCGCCAAATTTCTAAATCCGGCCCTGGATGTATATATATATATATATACATATATATATATATATATATATATATACGAGTATATATATATATATATATATATATATATATATATATATATTAGGATGGCCCTTAACAAGGACATTTTCAAATTTCTTTGCTCCCAAGCGCGGCAATGCTTCCACATGAATAAAAAATGAATCTCTAATAGTATTAGCTCTTAATATAAACATTTAGATAGAGCGCACGCCAATTGAAATTTTCTTAAATTTGTTATGAACATACGTCATTTAGTAAATTCTTGCACCATCTGTTTAGTATTCGTGATATTATGACACATAAGAATATTTATAAATCACTCAACATCTAATTAAATCCATGCGGGCTGTTCTATAATATTTATTCATCATGAAATCAATATAATAATTTAAGTTCCAACATAACCAATTAAATAAATATTTTGCTGCAAAATTAATCTTGCATCCATGATGAGTAGGATTTAATTAGAGCTTAAGTGATTTATAAATATTTTTATGTGTCATAATATTTGAGTTCACAAATACTATACAGATGGCGCCCGAATTTACTTAATGACGTATGTTAATAACAAATATAAAAAACTTTCAATGGGCGTGCGCTCTATTTAAATATTTATATTAAGAGCTAATACTATTAGAGATTCGTTTTTTATTCATGTGGAAACATTGGCGCCCTTGGGAGCAAAGAAATTCGAAAATGTCCTTGTTAAGAACCACCCTAATATATATATATATATATATATATATATATATATATATATATATATATATATATATATATAAGAATAAGAATAGGTGGTACTGCCCTAGAAAAGGTCCGTGAGCTGAGTTAAAATCCATCTAGATCAGCAAATCCCTCAAAAATATTTTTCGAAAAGTCAAAGAAAAGACTTGATTGAATGTAGAAAAATCAGTAATAAAATTAATTTGAATTTCAATTTTTATAACATGTTTCACTGTCACTTATGAATTTTCGATCACAATTGAATAGTTATTTCTAAGAGTGTATTTTTATATTTAGAAACCAATTTATTTTAAAAAGTTAAAAATGTTATATGAGGGCCACAAAGTTTTTAGGAACGTTAAGGTGGGGCGTGTCCCATAAAAGGTTGGAAAACACAGAACTTCAATTCAAGGAAAAATAGTGTGAGAGATTTGCCATTGCATTTTCAAACCGCAGTGCCCGGAATGGGCTTATTCTTCATTGGAAACTTTTTATATATATTTGATAGTTTACATTTTAATTTTAATCTTTGAGTTATTACCCAATAACTCTTAAGACAGGTGATTTATCAAAGCGTTTTTATATACATATATTTATAAACTTATAAAATAACTGAAATTTGTTTCCTCTTTTCAGGAAATTGCATTAAGTGCTATTTATGTGAATCAAAAACTCAAGATGCATGCCACGACCTCACGACTGGAGAGTTGCAGCCAAGAGTGAGTTGATTTACATTTAAATTATATACGACATATGTTATAACCAGAAAATCAAATATCTGCGTTATGTACGGAATATTAATAAAATTGCAAATAATCTAAAAGATCAATATATATCATTGTTTAAAATTAACTCATTTTTTGCATAATTTGTTTGTACATATGGAAATAATTTGTTTATTTTAACATTTTTGTTATGAGAATCTCATTTCCAATGAAGAGTCGCCTAATTATAGAGTCGGGTAACAATCTTTACTAGAACAAGCGACTTCCATTAATTCCGCAAAAAATGATTAAAATGTTATTTATTGCTACATCACGCAACTATAATATGTTTTTTTAAAAATAAAATGAATATGTCATAAGAAAACATTCTATGTAATCATTTATTTCAAAATCAAAAAAAATATATAAAATTTTGTAAAAAAATCTAATAATTTAAAATGTATCCACCACTTGACAAATTCTTATTAATACAAAACTTGATTATAATTAACTTCCCGAAGGAGAAGTTTATGTTTTCATCAAAAAATTCAATTCGCTAATTATATGTTTTCTCGACGTTTCAAGCCATTCTGAATCGAGTGAAATTTGGAAAAAGTATGTGAGTGTGTGTATGTGCGTGCGTGTGTGTGAACAGATTTTTTGCCGTAAATCGACGTTTTCTCAAAAACGGTTGGACCGATTTCCAAAATTTAAAAGCCATTCGATGTATTTCGATGAGGACTAACGTTTCTGAGTTTTGTGTGACGATCGGCATAGCCGTTTCTTTGTAAATAGCAGAAAAGTGAAAAAAATTTCGTCCACGTTTTAGCCCGCAATTCTTAATCGATTTTGAAAATTCAAAAACCGTTCGAAAGATATTGGTTGAAAATCGTGCTGATTAGTTTTTGGTAAAGATCGGCCGGGCCGTTTTCTTGTAATAAAGTTAAAAAAAATCGACAATTTTAATTATTATTTTTTTGACGGTAGATACCATAGTCTTCTAGATCATACTAAAATATTACAGCCCTACGACAACTCGTTTAGCTTTAAAAATTCATCAAAGTTTGCAAAAATTAGTATCGTTCTTTTGACATTTGTCAAAATTAGACCTTTGATCGACGTTTTCTCAGAAACGCCTGAACCGATTTCAGAAATTTAAAAGCCATTTGATGTGTCTCAATGACGACTATCGTTTGTCAGTTATGTGAGACGATCTGCCAAACCGTTTCTTTGTAATTTGTTTCTTTTCGTCCACATTTAAGCTCAAACTACCGAATCGATTTTAAAAAATCAAAAACAGTTCGATAGATATTAGTTGGGAATGATACTGATTAGTTTTAGGTGAAAATCTACCGAGCCGTTTTTTGTAATTAACTTTTGAAAAAAAAAACGATACGATAGTAGTACTTGGTCTTAATGAACATATCTACCATTAAAGTACTGCGGAAACTGATTCAATTATATAAATTGTTGATTTTTGAAAATTTGCTTTTAGAAAATACTCCGAGTTAACGTGTTCGTTCGTTTTCAATTATGTGTAATAGATCCACTCAAAATACTTTTAATCACTCATGAATTAATTTATTTTTTATTGATTAAGTAGATTATTTGCACATATCGGGAAGTTCATGTAACTTGCCTCAAGGCTAAATACCAATACCAACTAGTTATTTTTTGATTATTATCGATTCAAATTAGATCATGTTAATATTTTTAAATTTTACAAAATATTAAGACCAAAATCATTTTTGTAATCGGATGCATTTTTCTTAAAATATGTTTTTATAGTTCCTACTTAATAAAATCGTCAATGAACCAAAGATGAGTAAAAACGATTGATACTGATATTTAAATTAATAAATATCATTAAAGAACAAAACAGCATGTCATTGTGACCGTTCCCTATGTTCTTTTAAGGTAATTTAATAGTTGACTTTATTTAGCTACTATTATTAAGAATAATAAAATTTTATTTCATACGTTTACAGTTTCAATTACAAAATTTCGATTAACACATATAGTTATAATTATCTAATTAAAATAATATAATAATCTAATTATTTCAACTAAGGTACATTAAACAGAAAATTTAAAATTTCATTTGATATTTGTGTAAAAAGACAAGAGTTTTAGCATTTCACCTGAAGACGCAAGACCATTTCTAACGCAAAATGTGAAACTTTATTGTGCGCATTTTGTGTGAGATGCGAAAAGAAAAAGTTGCGAATTCAAGAGTATTTTCTAAATGATAAAAATAATTTAAAAATATCACATAATCAATACCCATAAAAATGCGGCTGAATTCGATAAGTTGGCGTGGTGCCACAGCAGCAGCCTTATAAATACATTACAATATATGGGTCACCCGAGAGGGATGTCTTATTTTTTGTTAAAATAAATAACATAATAAAGTTGCATTTACTAAAGTAGGATTAATCGCTGCACTTGGGCACTTGTTTCTGAATAGGCCTCGATTTTGTTTAGAATTAGATACTTGGTCTGAATTCCCGGTTTCTAATCTGTGAGGCTGTTCTCAGGGGCAAAATAATCCAAAATTTTTAAAATAATATTAAAAAATAATTAGCTTTAATGCATATTTTTACATAATATTGCATAATAATTTGTAGGCTTATAATATCAGTTGAGTATTTATAAAATTAAAAGGTTAAAAAATTTAAGGGGAGGCGCCAAAAATTTTTTTATTAGAGCAGAGAGCGCGGTTCGAGAAAGGTTGGAAACCACTGGTCTAAATAGCTGCACAATAAATTTAATTGTGATATTTATTTTGTATTCATTAATATAATTTAATATTGTTCAATCGTACAAAGTTATTTATTATATGTAAGAATTGATACAATTTTCGAATATATTTTGTACGGTCTCGAATACCGCACAAAAATAAGATAAACTGTATTTTTATTGTTTTTTCTACGTTATAAGAAAACGATCAGTAACTACTGAAATTCATATTTCTGCTATTTCTATGGCATACCCCAATAAATGTCAACAAGAATATAGTGAATACATAATTTAAGTACTTAACTAGGGGCTAATGGCATCGTGCCTTAAGGCAAATTGCTGTAACTCTTGGTACTGTAATTGAACATTCGAGGAATTAAAATATGCAATGATCAATGAAAATTATTCAATAATTAATTACAATTGTTTTTATTATTTTTAAATAAACTATTTAATATAAATACTGAAAATGTATATGTGCTTATTAAATTGGGCGACGAGCGTATTCTGTAAACAACTTATGTGCATGCTTACAAGAAATTTGTTCCATTTTTTTTAAATTTTATTTTTTTAGTAATTCTGGAATTTTTTAAAAAGTTCGATTTTTTTTAAAAAAATCGTTTTCTTTTCCAAATTTTTTGAGAATTTGTTTTTTTTTTGAAAATATTCGATTGTTTTTTTTGAAAATTTCGAAATATTTTTAAATTTTTGTAAGAAATTGATTTTTATTTTAATTTCGGTATTTTTTGAAATGTTCAAAATTTAGATTTTTTTTAAAAAAATATATAAATTTCGAAAATTTGAATTTTTTGAAACTTTGATTTTTTTCAGAAAGTTTTGAAAATGTTCAAAACAAGCAGAATGTTTTTTGAATTAATCTGATCGGATAATCCGTTCTCTCAAACACCGCATGACCATTTTTCTCCTAAAACGGCTAGACGTGCCTTTTGCAAAAACGCCTTGCGATCGAGTACGAACCGAATGTTTTTTCAACCATTCAAATCGGTTATTCCATAATGTCGATAATGTCGAGGACATTTGTTGAATCATATAAAGTAAATTCTAAAATTAGAAATCTTGGTACGAAACCCCAAAAAATTGACACAAAATGTGTACACGTTAAAATCTCTATATATTAAATACCTGATAATTTGATGTGCATATGTCTAATAAAGATTTTTGACTGCCAAATGGTGTTTATTTTACTTTTTTTATTGAAACTCCGTAACCGCTAGACCTGCCAAAATTTGAACAGTTCTTCGTTTAATCAATACAAATAAAATGTTCTTTTGAATTATTCAAATCGAATGCTCCATTCTCTCAAAAACTGAATGACCATTTTTGGTTCTTTTCGCCCCGTATTTTCGAAACGGCTAGGCTTGTCTTTGCCAAAAACTAATCAGTATGCCCCTTTATTAATACGAATCGAATGTTTCATAAATCATTCAAATCGGTTGATCCGTGTTCTCGAAATCGTCGACGAAAATTTGTATCCGCACACACATACACATACATCAATTTTTTTTAAAGTATGCCAAAATATTCAGAAACCTTTGAAACGTAAAGATATATGAAAATTTTCATTTTCGATTTTTTTGCGATTATTATAACTCTACGGGAAGTTAAACTAAGTACGTTATTTTATTAGACTTTAAATAACTTTCTATTCATTTTCATATAGCGAAAAATGATAATTCAAAATAAATTTATTTGAAATTAACTATTTTAATTAGATGAAGCGCATTTTGAATTAACTATTTCTGAAGAATTAAGTTATATAAAATTTAGAATATAAATACAGCGAAATTATTCAATTCAATTAAATTCCTCAATATTTTATATATTTTTAAATCCATCAGTTTTACTTGTTGTTCATTTCAGGTCAAGTGTAAAATTACTATAAAAAACTTCAATATTATTATGATAACTTCACGTATTTTTTTTTAGGAATGTACCCCAGAATTACTTCGAACTGCCAGCACTGAACTAACGAAAAATCTTCGCAATTTGGGAAATCTCTTCAACGTTGACGTGTTTGGATCCTCAACTCTAAATGTTCCGATGGCATGTCAGAAGACAGTCACCACAAGTATGTACTTTCAAAATGATTAACCATTAAATTGTTAAATAATGATTTTGTATCATGACGAAGATAATAAATCAATATATAACCTTTGATTACCCAAGTAATAGTTACCCAATACCCAAGCATAAATTTATTTATAAAGACATTTAGTAATAGTTATTTTGTTAGTTATCTTTAATAGATGTTTATAGCTTTGTTAGGAGCCAATAATTGGGCCCAATAATTGGCCTATCTATGTTTGATATGTCTAATACTGATGTCGGATTTTTAACTTAATGCAGCAGCGTCATTAAGGGCTATTCTTGAAGAATTTTTGATCTATAATTCTATTTTATTTTTAACTAAATATCTGGAGTAAGAAGTAATTGGCCTCGTCTGATAATCGGATGAGATTATAAAAGCTTCATAAGATTTAATAGGAAGTACTATATCGGGTCCTGTATGAACTACCAATTTTAATACCAATGTAAAATTAAAATAATGTTCGGCGTGTGTTTACCGTGATCAATATTATTGCTTCATTGTTATTTTTTTCAAACATAAATAATATTGTAATTTAAAAAACCTTTTTGCCAAAATGTTATTGATTTTTAATTTCAAGTATCTCTGTTATACTCACACTTTGCCATGTAAGTTTTTTTTTTCGTATTTATTCTATTTTATAATGATCTAAAATTGTATTTCATACTCATCTGGTTGTGGATGTCTATATAAAAAACATAAAAATGTAAAATATAAAAACCGTCAATGAAGTATTTGTTCCATAGACTTCTCAATATTGGTATTAAATTTCATTGGATTTATTATGACTAAAAATATAAAATTGAAGTAAGTGTATTATTCAGATTTCATACGCAATAGAATTCGTTGTTTGTAATTATTTTTACAAAAAGGATATGCAAAGATAATAATAGTGTTGTGAAAGATGTGATTCTATTATCACTGTACATTAGGTATGTTATTTATCAATCATCCAGCGAAGGTACTTTTCGACATTGCAATCGATGGTCCAAATAGTTTTAACAAAATAGAGACCAAAAAATAGTGCTCCCTCAATTAGTTTTGAGTTACTAATGATATTTTTCAATATCTATTTAAACAAACAGTATAAAAAACATAAAATTCTCTGACATAAAAACCAATAAACCATGATTAACACAGCCTTCACATCTATGTATCTACCACAATTGAAATAAGGCCGGGATACTTCATAAATAAAAAATAAAATTTATACAAAATAAAATATTCACATTTGTTGTATTAGAGAAAATATTCCATTGACACCGAATAAAATTAAAAGTTGAAAAATATAGAAGAAAGTAAATAAAAAACAACAGTAACAATAATAACAATAGTAAGAAAAGCTATTGGTTCGTGGCATTGTGCCAAATTGCTGAAATTTACGAAAATTATTTTTTTTAAAAAACAGCTTTGAAACTTTTTGAAAACTGAAAAAATCAGATCCCTCAGAACTTTGAAATTTGAACTTTTAGTTAGTTAAACTTTACTGACTGCAACACGGGGCTTACGCTTACTGCAACAGCGCGATTACTTTGAAAAAAGTTCAATATTTTCAAAAAGTTAAGAAAAAAAAAAAAAACTTTGAAAAAATTGATTGATTACTTTGAAAAAAGTCAAATTTGCGCAAAAATTTCAGTTTTCAAAAATCAATTTTTTTCGAGATTTTTAAAAAATGCTTTTTTTTAAATGGTAATTTTCAGTACGGGAAGTCGCAGCAGTTTGCCTTAAGGCACGATATGCCCTGCACCACTAGTTATATCATTCAAATCGGTTGATACGTGTTCTTAAAATTGTCGACGAAAAATTTTATCGGCACATGCATACACACACACAGGGGCGGTCCTGCCTTGCGAAAAATGTGGGCGCTCGCCTTAGGGGGCGCCAAAACGAGATTCGGCATTGAAATGTATAATATATTATTCATATTTTTTTAATATAAAATCTACAATACTTAACAGATTAAACAATCTAACTTAACTATGGATCCAAAAAGAGACCAAAAAAGCATATTAAGTTTGCTATGTGATATCAGTAGAGACATTGATTACTCTGCAAATTAGTAAATTATTGTTCTGCTTATTGTTGAATGTTTTTATTAAATTTTTCTTTGTTTGAAGTTAATGTGGAATCGAAAAAAAATTATCTAGTATTCAATCCCGTAAGCGCGTAATTGACGAAAAATTGCGAGCTGTTTTAGTTGAAACGGAACTTGTTAAAAAAATAGTACAAATTATAATAGAGAAAAATGAAAAATGAAAAAAGCAAATATAAAAAATGGAAGCAAAATGCACTTAGAAACAAAAATCGTGAGCTTCTTTTATACCTAGTGGTATAAAAAATACTATTAACTGAACAGAAATAATACAGGTACAAATATAATTGTGTTTTGTTTTTAATATAGTTCAGGAAATATGTAATTTTTTGCATTTTTTAAAATACGTTAAAAATTTTACTTTAAAACAACAATCTGATATTCTGAATCAGATTGGAAACTAAACATGAATACAATTCGGCCCTTACGATATCAATAAGGAGAAGTTTACGATGCAATTTTGAATATTGTAATTAATGAGAAAAAAAAAGTTAAAATAAAATTTTAAAAATCCAACATGAAATACGAGTGTTATGTTTAAATATGCAATACGTAAAATATTTCAAACCCTAACTATTAATATTACATATATGTTAAAAATACTTGTATGTAATGTAAAATATTTGATTACAGTCAACCCGCAAATCGCTTCGATTTTCTGAATAACTATTTTATACGCTTTTAGATTATATCTAATTTTTTGTGTACTAAATCCAGAATGATTAAAAATCAATTTAATAAAATTACGTAAATATTTATATAATTTTAATGATAAATGTTAAAACAGTTAAAATTATTAAGGGGGAGGCGCTAGAACAAATCATGCATACGGGCTCTGAGGACCCCAGCACTGGCCCTGCACACACATACGTACTTGCATTCACACACGCATATACCCATATTTCTAAAGTATAACAAAATGTTCAGAAACTTTTGAAACGTCAAGGTATTCGAAAATATTCATTTTCGATTTTTTGCTATTACTACAACGTACACTACGGGAAGTTAAAAATTAATTAAGAATGTTCTTTTGTGCTGCTATATTTTTTATGTAATCATTGGAAATTTTTGTAGTAGGTACCTATACAAGGCGAAAAATTAAACATATGTATTTTAGAGTTGTATTTTAACATGTCAGAAAAGTAAGATGTATTCGTCCGCCTGACGGCAATAAATAAATATAATAGGCTAACATTTTATATTACAGAAAAAATCTTTGCTCATAAACAGTTTAAAGTATCAGTATTGTAAACTGACAATTATTTTTTATTTATCAGCCCTGTCTCTAATCTCTCGTTCATAATTTATTTTCAGTTAACGGCGAGAAGTTGACAGTGCGCGGATGCCAACTAGGTCGCACGGATTCGATGGATCCTTGCCGGATTTTCGAGAATAAGGTCGGCGACGAGACAAACGCCCAAGTTAACCATTGTTCACTCTGCGAAGAAGACGGCTGCAACGGCGCAGGTTCCCTACGCGGGCTACTGCTCCACTGCGGCTTGTTTCCTGCGATTCTCCTCCTGGTCGTTTGGCGCGTGCTTGTTGACGCGTAGGCGCGTAAAAGACCATGGATTGCTAGTCACGAATTGGTTTTAAATAAGAAAACTTTAACAAAAAATTGAAGAGCTTTTTGAATGTCGATCGGATATCATCGTAATAGTTCAAGATTATTGATGAATACCGTAAAATTTCTTAATGATCACCTCCCATATCAAACAACTTGCTTGATAGATTATGAAAGATTCGTGTGTAGAAAGTGGAGATAGATGGCGAAATAATCATCGGAGTCCAGTTACAAAATCACGTGTCAAAGTCAGGTCTGGGACTAGCTAACAAAGTTAATTCCGATACTAAAGGCATTATCATGTTTCCGAAGAGTGACAAAGCTATGTTACACACGAGTGGTAAAATCAAGTCAAAGACTTGATAGAAATAGTTTCTGTCACTAGTAGTCAAGTCAAATCCATGACTACTATCAAAATAAAATTGATAAAGTTATGCCCATGATGGATGAGAATTTTTTTTTATTCTTCTACACGTGTTGCCTCTGAAGTAAATTGTACTTTTCAAGCAAGTCTCCACTATATGACACAAAAAAGATAAAACTCTATTGGTTTATATATCAACCCAAAATGTTGACTAATTGTTGCCCAGAATTACTGTTCATTTCACTACACCAGATAATTAGTTTGATATATTGCACATATTTTACTGTTTACATAAACACCCTTATAAACCACTTGCATAAAACACTGAATTGTTTTTTTTTAATTTATTTCTGGTATAAGTAATTTCAATTTGGTAACTATAATTATGCAAACGTTCTAAAAATAAATATTTAAAAAAAACATAAAATAAGTATAGATATCACAAAATAAATAAATTTCGACTAAATTTTTAATTTTTTATATAAAAAGAACTCTGTAATTACCTTAGTTTTCTTAAACTATTTATTCGGTAACAACGAAAATGTAAATTTTACTAGTAGTTATTCATCACTGGTACTAGAGATATATTCGATCGACGTTCAACAATATTCAACACATTAGAATGTATGTAAAATACGCATAAAGCCACTAATATTTGTGTTTCTTTGTTTGGATACATTACCAGAAAGCCTTATTTAATAAAAGAGATGTTTTTTAAAGTAGTCGCTGTAGGAATATCGCTGCCAAGCTAATAGATGTTTGGAATTTCAACGAAGGAACTTAGATTTAGCATCATGATTTTAATATTCAATCAATTCATATTTTGATATTATTAATATTGTTGTGTAAATTCTAGAAAAAAATATTATAACTTTTTTATATATAATACTGTGGACAAATATGAGTAAGACTTGTCAATGTAAATTTTCCAGGACAAATGATTTATTTTTAAGTTATATACATTTATTGACATTTATGTCAAATTTTACGACAATTGGTTTATTGGTGTAGTAGTTACGCATCTGTTTGAAAGCAAAGAAAAGCAGTTTCTTTAATTTTTATAATGTCTGCTAAATTATTCAATAAAGAAATAGCATTAAATTTTGTGTGCTAAATGAAATATTAGCAGCCGAACTGTTCAGAATGTGTTGCAGAAGATCTTTGGTAAAAAGTCAATGTCAAGAGCAAGTGTTTTTGATTGGCACAAATTGTTCAAAGAAGGTCGAGAATGCGTTGGAGACGAACCACATCTAAACCGACTAAGAACATCTGCTGATGAGCTGGACGTCAATAATATTGACAACTAGAGAGAGTGCTGATATTGTTGTAATTTTGAATAGGTCAGTCAATACTATTTTGAAAATATTTTTTGTACTACAATAATGCACCGTCGCACACTGCACTCGTTCTTCGTGAAGATTTCGCCAAGAATTCAACCAATATCGTTTCGCAATCACCGAATTCGTATGACTTATCATTGTGTGACTTGTGGCTATTCTCTAAACTCGAAGGATTGCTGCGTGAACATCGTTTTGACTCGATTGAAGACATAAAAGCCGAATCAAAGAAGGAACTAAGCCTTTAGTTTCCAGAATGGCCTATTCCGGAAGAAGAGAATAAAAAATGCTTTGAAAATTGGAAAAAGAGTTGGCATAGTGTCGGCACATTATTTTGAGGGGGATGAATAAGATTTAGTAAAATAGATAGTTTTAAATTGAGTTTTACTCATATATGTACACAGTAGTATACAAATTGAAAAAACTTAATTACTGTTATAATTGGGGTGATAATTCATGTTTTACGCTCTGTCAAGCTTAAAACAAAAACCTGTTAGGGCAACAAATAAAGTGGTCAAAGACAGTTGAGTTTGATAAATTTAATCCCTCAATTAATGCCTTTAGCAGAACGAATCGGTCTTTAAAATTATGGTGCATATTCGACGACAACGTTGCCGGATCGAAACCAGCTCTAAAACTGGCGAACTGTCAATATTAACAACCAGAACAGACGTTAAAAAACGTAACAAATTTTCTGCTCATTGCTCTTCATTATTAATAAGAACACCAATAAAAAAAAACTACTGCAAAAAATCGATTGATTTTTCACACATATTTAACAATATCATCTCTGCATTCGGGTATTCATTATTCAGTAAGTGAGAGGATGGATAGAACAAGTACTCATGCAATAAAACAGAACTACTTACATGATAACATAATATTTTGTACAAAAACGCTAAATATACTATATAATATGTGTTCAAAAAGTATTTCTTCGAAGTCATTTAATTTTTAAAAGTCAACTTGTTTTCTAAATTATCCATTTGAATCTTATAAAATCATTAAAATGGTAATGTAAATAAAAAGAATTTCATATATTCCAACTGATAATGAAAATTAAAATTTAGTAAACAAAAATGTTATTTTGACAAAAATTGCATTTACTTCTTGAACACATATTGTATAATAAATTCTCATTTATAAATTTCAAACATTTTGATTTAGTTTTGTGAATATAAGAAAATTCATATGTTCTGACCTGATTTACATGATCAGAAATATATTCTTTCTTCAATGTATAATACTACTTAGTCGTTTGTAGATCGATAAATATTATTAAAAAAAAACTATACAACATGTTAGTAACTTATTGTCGCTTTATATCGTGAAGAGCTTTTATAAGATTTAATTATAATTTCAAACATATTATGTGTATTTTTGTGTTAGTGGAAGTAATACTTTATTTCATTATACCATATTCAATAAAATATATATTATATTTTGAAAAAAATTATTTCAAATGAAATCATACAATTCCAAGATAATGTTAAGATAATTTTTCAATTTAATTTAAATATGATTCTAGAAAATCTAATAGTTAATTTATGTATAAAATATAGATGCACTGTCCGCGAGTTAATTTATATAAAAAATTATGTTAGTTTATTCAATATTTTTTTCGAAATTTTATTACAAAGCTTAAAAATTTAACGTAACTTAATTTCAATGTAACGTTAATAATAATGCAGAATTATTATTGTATTTGAAATGCTACACGTTATGTATTAATAATGTACAGTTTATTGATTTTCTCCCAAACATTATTATCATCTTAAAAATTAAATTTATATGAAAAATATAATTTATACCTATATATACATGTCACTGTTCAAATTATACATGATATAACAATAAATTTTTTGACGGAAAATGTGTTTTTTTCTTCAAAAGACAATCTTACTGCTATAAGATAAATTTCTTATAAGTAATTAGTATTTATTAACTAGAATAAGATTAAAAACACAAATAATGACATAAATCAAGTTCAAACGCAAATAATTTTTTAAACCTATGATAAACATTATTTCATAGAAGAAAATACGCACAATTAGATTCACGTTTAAAAAACGTATCTAATATCTTGATTTTATTAAAATAAAAAGAATGTTTACATTTATTTCTTATAACAATGCATTTTTTTAAAAGAAATTTCATAATTTTGCAGACCAGCAATTTATATTTAAATGTTAATGAGGTGGCCTAAATAAGACATAACGCAATTCGCAATATGGTAGAGCGGGGCTTAAAAGTCCGATGGTAAATACGTTCACCAACAATATCTTGAAAACAAGTGAAGTTATGTTTTTTAATAGCAATATTTGAAAGTAAAGAGCAAGAGATATGTAATCAGCCATCACCTTAAATCAAGCAATCTCACTAACAATAAGTGTTTCCTTTCGTTGTTAGTTTTTTTGGTTGTGAGCACTGTTGTTTAATTTACGAGACCTTAATATGACATTTAAGTATATTTTGCCTAATTGTTTTATAAAATGTAATGTTATTTTTAACATTAGCATAGATTCTACAGGTTTTTTTATACGCCTATAAAAACTTATATATGGGTGGGTAAAAAGGACCAACTGAAACTCTGTGGGCAAAAGTGTAAACAATAAGAAAATAGTAAAAAAAAGCTGAGAAAAGAAGAGATAAAATAGATTATTTGTGATTCCAACTCTATTGATGAATATTTCTGAAAAAATACCAGATCAAGGTTATATACAGAGTTATCTTTGTATAAAATGTAACTTGTATTTCGTAAAATCACATTAAATTTAAAATTAAGACATTTAATCTGTTTGCCCCAGAGAAGTCTTTATGTACCCAGCCTTTGGTGTGAAAATGGACAGATAAATTAAAAAATATTAAAAAAACATTTCTGTATTTAACAATTAACTAAGATTATTACTGAACATAGGACGATAGTTGCTTGTTTGATACGTGTTATGTGATGTAGTTCATTTTGTTTAGACAGTATAATACTGTCTAAACTTAAATCTAGTTTAAGTTTAATTACTTAAAGTCAAATAGGACCTTTCTGCCCCACCCTACTCTATCTTCAAAATTTTTAAATCCTTATAATATGAATGGTAATTTTTTATAAGTCTGATACACTATACAATTACAATAACTGATAATATTCCTTTTAAATTGAAATAAATTTGTCATTATTCAAGTAAATTGTAAAAGTACTCATTTTTTTGTAAAAGTTTATTTTAAGTTTATATTATCAAAAAATTCGATTAGCTAATTTTTTTTAACTTCCCGTAAGGCAAGTTATAGTAATCGCAAAAAAATCGAAAATGACTAGCTGTAAGTGGAATTCTGTCTTAAGGCAATTAGGGC